ATACTTTAATACTTTAAATACTTTAATATGAACTTATAATAACGCATCCTACATTACAGTCAATTTGCACACCATGTTAATTTAAATGTTCTGTGACTGACAGCTATGACTGACAAGTTTCATCTTGACTTTCTCTTTAGTTTTCACCGATCCTTTTTGATGTGGGCTTAAATCTAAGTAAAATGGTGTTGAAAGGGGTTAAGTTTCAATTCAATTAAAGATTATTTTGTTAGAATATTCGTGCAAACGTTGTGCTTGTACTTACAGCATTGTATCAGTAATAGGCAAAACAGTATGTACATTTTTTTATGTAACCAGGAAGTCCTTTGAAATTAAAATCTATCTCTGTCACCAGTTACAGAAAGGATTTGAATTGACATGGATAACAAAAAACCCACGTAAACACAAGTAAAAGGCCTCTGAAGAGCTGAGTCACACCTCTTAGTGTCACCAGTATAGACAAATACAAAAAGAATTATGTTAATAGCAATAATAATTTACAATACAATTAGTGTTAACATAAAGAAGAAAATGAATAAATACATATCAAGTGAAAAATATGAACTAAATGAAATTGCATGAACAATTGAATTATATTTAGAGGAGTTCAGTGCATGCATGAATGAATCTTTAAACTGAACATCAATCTGATTTTGTATGCAATGCAATCAATTAGCTTAGAAAAAAAGGGAATGAACTACAGAGTCAGTGACTACTCATCTTTGAGCTGAATTGAACAAAATGATGGAATCAGAAGAGGGGTTTGTTATTAATTTCCACTTATATACTCAATACATGATGCTGTCCATCAAACAATATATGGTCACATATTTGATATATTTCAGATTTATTAGGTGCTCCAAAGTCAGGTTCAAATGTTCTGTAATTCAACTTGGGAAAGTTGTTTTAGTTTAGCCCAGAGGAAAACGAATCTCAAATTGGATACACTGATTAAAATCCCAAACAGAATTTATCTTTAATGCAACTGTTGTTGTTGTTGTTTTTGTCTTCAGACAGCACACTTCGAGAACTTTAAAGGCTACAGACAGTCAAGAAAAACCATCTAGCATGAACCCCTTGCTAACAAAGAGCCAGCAGAGAACAATCTGCTCCCAGCTGGGAAGAGTTAAACTACAGCTGCTGTACAAGGCCAGCATCCATGGTTTCACCGGTGCAGCCTTCCACCAACGATGTGACAACCACTGTCCCACAGTGTCTGTGGGCTATAACGCCTCCGGTTATGTGTTTGGAGGTTACACCAAACAACCATTCAGTCAGTCTGGACAGTACGTACATGATGACCAGGCTTTTCTTTTTACCTTCAGTGGAGAAAATGTCCTCAAATATCCAGTTACCGGTCCAGCTTATGCAGTGAGAATGATCGCTAACTCTGGTCCATATTTCGGAGAAGCATTGGTTCTTGTCAATGGAAGCCAACCAGTAGTCTCTAACAGTCAAGGAAATTATTACAACTTCAATGCTGCTGAAATGCATGGCAACGACCTCAACCTGACCGAGTGTGAAGTCTATCAAGTGGAGGGTGGGTTCACTACAAACATCCAATACTGATGCTTAGCATGTTTCAAGCAGATTGTATTTTACATCACGCACAAGGCAAACACCATCATTATTATTCCTGTCACAGTTCTGCATATTATAAAGTTAATATACATGATAATAACATCTTCTCCAGTTTCCATAAATCAAAGATTGTTGAACACAGTGGAAACTTTTCTTAGGAAGCTACTAATGATATTCTTATTTTTTATTTAGTTGTATTTTGTTAAAGTTCTGCTGGGATAAACAGACATCAGTTCGATTACCAGAAACCTGACTCTTCTTTAAAAGTAGATAAATGTCCAGAAGTATGTGGATACAAGACACCCTTTTTTGTTACTACTAACTCAAAAAATACCAAACAGTAGTTCACATTGATGATCCATAGGTGTCAAATTCTAAGTTTAGTTTAATACTAAGTTTTAGTAGCTCAGTCTGGAACTGGAGGGTGGTTGTCCAGCACGGACCACAGTTTGGAGTGTGGGCGGGTAGCTGGAAAGGTGTCTGGGCATTGCTGCCCAGCCCTTGAGCAAGGCACCAAAGTGCTAACTGTTCCGTTCTTCACATTTGCTTATAAGTGTGTGAGTGAGAGAGAGAAGTTTTGGGATCAATGAAGTACATCTTATTCTTCTTATAGAGAACAAGGGAGTGAATTTAAACTGACTACAGCCCTTGACCTTCTTAAAACAACTAAAAGTCAAAATGATAGTTTGTCTAGGGCTTTCCAGAACCATGTAGGCCAACATGTGATACAGTGTTTTATTATTATTTATTATTATTTGCTCTTTCCTTACTTTGCTTTCTGTCCTCACTGCGACTTACTCTTAAAGGGCTCGTCTGAAGGATGTTTATTTTTAGGTTTAATTACTTGAACACTTTTTACAATGTAACACAATTTCAATTGAATGCCTGGATAATAGTTGAATACAATTAAATAATAATATGAGCATAATGTTTTGTAAAAGCTGTTTTTCTCTTCAACAGTGAACCCAGAACTTGAGAAGCCATGGAGGACGATGGTGTGGGAACAACAGTAAGCTGGATGGGGCGCCAATTACACTACACCATGTCATACTATACAATGGCTACTGTTATACTGCAAGTCTTAGTGCTTAATTGGGATTTTTTTTGCTCGGATAAGATTTTTTTGTTTGGCTGTTCACATTATGTGTGAACAGGTCATTGTCCTGAACTGACCTGACCTGCATTTGAAAAAGAACAATAACACGTAATACGACATCACACGAAGCACCTGTCACTGAAGACAACGTGTACGGGGGAGGGCGAAGAGAAAAAGAGCGAGATTTTTATTTATGGCTTTTCATGAAGCAACAGCTGCTGCGTCTGTGCGGACTGGTCATGATAAGATCCCTTTAGTTTTGCTTGTACGGAAGTGTCGCCCCAAATACTTATGATGTCTAACACCTCAGTGTCCTTCCAGAAACTACCTCCATTGCATCTGAATGACTCTCGCCAGCATAAATGTCAATCTAGAGTGATGTAAAAAGTCACATTAATTCTGATATGAATTATGAGTTCACACTGAGGCTGCAGACCTGTATCTGATTTGGACAACATATGAAAGTGGCCCAAATCAGAATTGGAAAGATCAGATTCCATGTGATTTGTTCTGTTCACAAAAAACTGATAAGTCAAATATGAGCGAAACTAATTTAATTTGGGCCACTTTTGCCTGCAATCTGAACATAGCTGCAAGTCTTAAGTTATGATTATGTTTTGTACTATATGGTTATAGATTTGCTATAAAACTGCTTTTGTTTTGTCAGGAAAAGGACAGAGATGATGGACTATATTAAGAGCTACAGTCCCATGACCAGCTCTGTGTCCCAGGTTCGAATCCTTCTCATTGGACCAGTTGGAGCTGGAAAGTCCAGCTTCTTCAATTCTATTAACTCTGTATTCAGAGGCCACGTCACCAGCCAGGCCATCGCTGGTTGCTCTACCACCAGCCTCACCACACAGGTTAGTCTCAGGCTAAGCTTATCAGTGCATCCACCTTTTTACAGCTCGTAACATTGTAATATGTTGGTGATTCCCTGACTTTTGCAGGGTACCAAGTACCATCACAAAGTCAGACAGGCTGGCTGCACTTTGTATTAAGTACTAAAGTGTTAGTATGGTAACATGCTATCCTAAGACGGTGAACATATTAAACTAAAGCTAAATGCTGATGATAATCATCAGCATAGCTCAAAGCACCACTGTACCTGAGTACATTCTCACAAAGCTGCTAGCATGGCTGTATTGTTAAATCTAGTACCATGTGCAACCTGCTGTTCATCTTCAAGTGCAGAACAAAATTGCGCTCCAGTTCACTTAGCCTGTAGCACTGCCTTGATTTATTTAAAATAGTGTAGTGGAAGGGAATTATCATGCAATTGATGCTGCCTGAGTACATTCTATTTGACAGGCATTGCTGGTGCAAGCTTTTGCAAAAAGAGTAAATGAGTCTCTTGTTGTCTACAAAGTCTACAAATTACAAATTCATAAGATTTTTACGATCCAAAAAAAATAAATCTGATAAACTTCATTGTATTACCTGACAGTTTCGCACGTACTCTGTGAAAGCTGGACGAGGAGGAAAACCTCTGCCAATCATCTTGTGTGATACCATGGGATTGGAGGAAAGCACAGGGGCCGGGCTTGAGTTGGACGATGTTGTCAACATCCTCAAAGGTCATCTGCCAGACACTTATCAGGTAGAGCTTTTTGTAACATTCAGCAGCATAATGAACACATGATGATGCCCTGATTTGGTTAATTGTTTGTTTAACACAAACTGTTCTTTTCTTTCACCTGTCTGACTCAGTTCAACCCCTCTGCTCCTCTGCATTCGGAGGCCCACGGCTACCAAAAGTCTCCAGGCCTCAAGGACAAGATCCATTGCGTGGCCTACGTCATTGATGCCTGCAAGGTCTCAATCATGCCCACAAAGCTGGAGGAGAAGCTAGGTGCTATCCGCAGAAAGGTCAACTTAATGGGTCAGTAAAAATTATTACCATGTCATTTAAAGGCCCAGTGTGTAGGATTTAGTGGAATCTAGTGGTGTAATTGCAGATTGCAACTCTGTCGCTTTACTCTCCCCTTCCAAGCGCAAAGGAGAAACTACGGAAAACGCAATTGCCTGTATACATTTCTCCCCCAAAATCAAATGTTGCACGAATGTATTTATATGGTACATGAAGACTTATTTTGATACCTATGTTGTATGATATTCACAAATGATTAAAACATTTAAGGACTGCTAACATAGTACTGCCAAACATACTGTATGAATAAATAATTTTTATGAAAACAAGATTCATGATAGAAACGTAGGTAGGTAGGTAGACAGTTTTGGGGGCTTTTTTCAAATTCAGTGGTACAGTATTTGAAGTAATTTTGTTTTGTTTTGTTGGCTTTCAGGGATTCCTCAGCTGGTCCTGATGACTAAAGTGGATGAAGCCTGTCCTTTTGTTTCAGAAGACATTAGGAACATTTATAGGAGCAGCTACATCAAGGAAATGGTAAGATCAACTTTAAGAAATTAAATTCACCTGTAGGATTTTATTCTGAAAGACAGACGTGTTTAAAGTTTTAAGTAAAATTTTTTGATTTGTGGTTCTGGTCTTGATGGAAGAATATAAGACACAAATTAACATAAAATCTGTCTGAATTTAATTTGATTGAGTTGTCAGTTCTCCTCTTTGTGTTTTTGTCTTAAACTAATAAAGTTCCCATTGAATTTTGGGTAGTCATAACCTACACAACCTTTCTGCTGTGGTAAAGATCAAAGAATAAAAAACATGTAATTAAACGTCCAATTTCCTTTTTTGTGGTGTCAAAAATATTAATAAACTCGTCATCTAAATATTTTGTGCTGCTTTTGATCCAGATGCAGGAGGTCAGTGTTCGGACCGGTGTGCCACTGTCCTGCGTTGTTCCGGTGAAGAACTACAGCCAAGAATTAGAGGTGGACCAAGACTGCGACATCCTTCTACTCACCGCCGTCATTCAGATGCTTCGCTTTGCTGATAACTACTTCGATGAGCTCAGTGACCGACTCGGCAATGTTAGAACCAAGGAATAGTAAGAATTGGCACAGCAGATGTTTATATCTTGTCCAACTGTAATGAAATATCCCTCAGAATGACCCATCGTCCAGCAGGTGAGCAGGTGGCGGACAGGTTCACTGTAGTAAAAGCATAAGTACTGCAGCCAAGAATATCCCCAGGTACATTTCCATTGATCAAAGATGGCCACCCCACTCCTAGGCTTGGGACCACAAGCCCAGGAATGGGGTAGCCATAAATGAAAGAATGCCTAAATTAGATATCATAATGTTCCATATTTGTACTGGTTGGTCAACAGTTAAAAACAGACAGAAACAGTGTATAGCTCCTTTTTAAATTAGCTCAATCACTTGTAGTGGTGATAATATTGGATTACAGGCAATAGATTTAACTGCAGGTTGTGCATTTAGAGATTGCATGTTGTCTTTGGGCCCTTTTTGCCACTGGTTTGTTGACATTTCTGTAGTCCTATTTTCCAAGTGAAAGACAATGTTACTATCAAGAATTCTTAATTCCTAGTATTGTAAATCAGGATTTTAAAATACAAACATGATATGAACGATTTTTCCCAACCAGGTGCTCATGGTCCACACAGTACGACCTAAAACTACTCCTTGGGGACCTCCAAGAATTCCTAGGAATACTGGGAGAGCTTCAGAAATGCAGTGTTTCTTCCTTGGGATTTTATTTTGTATTCATCAGGTATTTATTCTTATGAGGGGTTTGTTACATTGTTGATGTCACATTGTTTTGGGATTGGGATATTTCAATACAAGACTACACATTATCTACTACTACTACCACTACTACTACCTTTACTGCATGGTGACTACACTTCTCGGAGAACATCCATGTCATTAAACACTGAGTAAAACAGATACAAATTTCCCTGCCACATAGCTTTCAATTCAATTTATTTTCTCTAATAATAAACTTTTGCTGTTTGACTTGTAAAGAATAACACAAAAACAGTTCTTATTTATGTCAGATGTTGCAGTAGATGCTAAACATTATGCATCCTTGCACAAAGTGAACTTTTACCAGTTATGTCTTAAGTTTCTTTTTCATCGAACTAAGCAATAATATGTCTATTTCTTTACATTATTTGATGCCAGAAAAAAACGCTACCTAGCAGTTTGTACTAGCAGATATAATCATGTTTATTGTTATGTTACATGTTTTGTATATTCAGTTTGTGCTTCTACTTGTGTCTACGACAATAACAGCTCTTGACAGACTTGGGTTTGGAAACTTTTAAGTGTGTTCATTAAAAAGACAATAGAAAATCTGAATTCCTATGTAGCTCCTTTATTACTTCTAAAATGAATTATTCCAGTATTCTGCTGTTTAAATAAAAGTTCAAGGTGCATGAATGAACAGAGAAACTGAAATTTATTAATGCAGGTCAGACAGTTACTGTACAACAAACAGTGTTGGAGTCGGACCAACGGAGGAGCAGTCCCTCCCCGTGTAACAGGACTGTGGTATTACAGCAGACTGTAAACTACACAACGCACATCACACCTCTAATCCGACTCACTGCCCTCTTTTGCATCATTGAAATTAGCTGTTAAGTATAGCGGATTATAAATTGGCAGCTGTCCTCTCAGCGACGATAATCATCAGTTAAAAAATAATTATGCTCTGTGATCAGGATAACTTTTAAACAAACAAAAACACATCTTGAAATAGTGTTTAAAATATCAATGTTGCTTTAGTGCACATAAAAGACGAGGAGCTTTCTCCACTCTTGGCCACAGTTTACATAAAACTGGTTGTTTGACTTTGTAAATGTCACACGTGACCAACGACAATGATGCACAGTAGTGAAGAAGGAATGTCCTGGAAATGCAAAACACACCTGGAATTCAATGATATTCAGCCCGTCGGCTTCCTTTTTCTCCCTTTACCATGATATTGATGCATTTCCTCCAGTGAAGCGGCTCAGTGGCCACCAGCGAGAGAACAGTGGTGTTACTGGGAGGCTCCTGGTGGAAATGTGTGAAACAGGCTGCTGAAAAGGATATTCAGCAGATCTGTCTGTAAGATCAGATGACATGGTTGTTGTTGGCGAGGTTGGTTCAGGTGGTTGGGAGTACGGAGGAAGACCATTGGGGACGGAGCAGAGGGGGAGGCTCTTATGGCACAGCTGACGCTCTCTGACATTTCAAACTGTCAGATGGCGTTCCTCTCATCAGCCAACAGGCTTCAGTCATCAACAGAAAAGGCAGCCACGTGAAGAAGAAACCATTTCAACTTCAACCACTGGAGTTACAGTGCAGAACACACACCTACATACATACACACTTCCAAAAACACACACTCACACATAAACAATTACACGTGGGCATGGTCAGAGTCCAAAGGCCGATTCCAGTGACAACGTGAGTGGAGAATAGAGCAGGACATTTGGCACCTAGACTGCAGCGCTCTGCCTGCTAACTGCACAGACCTTTTGGCTAATTGTTGTATTTATCAACTTACCAACCTAATATCTGCAAGGTCCTCACACCTACTGTAGATTTCAGCAACCAGTTATGTAATAAGTATTAGTTTTTTCTTTTCTTTTAAAATCAATAAAGCTATTTCCACCTGCTGTTCATCTTACTTACACTTTCCTTGGCTAAAGATAAAGTAATCCCATGTTACTATAAGTGAGATCTTAATTTGTCAAGCATATGTAATTTTCACAACAATCCAATTTACCTGCACATCATTAAAGAGGTAAGGTATCATTCAATACAGCACTGAGCAACAGATACAACAGTCCACGACTGACACAGGGAAGATTTAGATATCCAAATACTGTGCTCATTGTGTAAACAATTAGTTAAAAATTGTATTTTATCACGACAGAGGGCAAAGAAAGTGTTGGCACAGCTGTGCAAATGACTTTAGGATTATTTGGCAATGATGGGGGAATATTGCAACTTAATCTTGCTTCTTAATGTAATGCTAGATGTTTAAGGATGAATTGTGCTATGTAACAGATACCTTCAAGCCTTTACTATATTATAAAATTACCTAATTAAATGTGCTGACTATGGTATCTACAGTGAATGTTGATGACAGTAACAGGCATGAACGGGTAAAGTCTTCCAGCTCTTTCTGTGGGTGTTGTCTACATGGTGTTACATGACACAGACAGATACACTCAGTTTATCCATGATTACTGTGATGGATTATCTGGGCCTGTAAAAGAACACGATGCCAAAAATGGCTTATTCTGAACGAGAAACACAAGCCCTGACATCTTCAACTGTAATAACTGCAGACACCAGAGACATTTGTTCAACTTAGAACAAAATGTTTTAAGTAGCTTGAACATTTTTTTAAAACCACTTTGGAGACTTCACATTATCAGCACTAAACTGAAGAGGTGTGGCAAATACGTATTCCACTTGAGTCATTAAAAGTTTCAAACATAAGGTAAAAGTATTAAAAAAAAGATGTGACACAGAAATGGAAAAGAGAGCTGATTTCTCCTGTGATCACAGCTAATCAAACTGCACAAAATGATGGTATGTTAGAAATCCGAATGCAGTGACACACAAAAAAGCCAATTAAATACTCACAGGTATGATCTGTAAGTGGGTTCTTAAAAAGAAATTTAACAAAATTTAGAGTGGTGTTACACACCTTGAGTCAGTTCAACCCATGACTGAGGAAACAGTGCCAACATGAAGCACATTAATCTGCAGGTTGTCACTTTGGCTCTTCGGAATTTGGACTCGACCGGATCAATCACACACTGTGCTTACATCAACATCTAGAGAGATGACATTCAAATTCCAAACAGTAAAAAAAAAATTAACAAATAACCTTTCCTTGTGTTTTTTTTTTCTTCTCTTAAAGAACTGTACAAGATTATTACAAAAATCAATAATTAGTTATACATATTTATATGACAACATTGTTTACGTTATATTACTATAAAGAAATACAACTTTTTATGTTGTTCTTGTTTGAGACTCTGAATGCAGTATTCCTTTTTCAAAGTGGCTTTGCTGTGCTGAAGATGATTAATGTAGATAGCTATATTTCTATGCAGTAAACTTATAAGATCTCTGCAGCTGTTGCTGTATCAGTATAGCTGAAAATATTGTTCAAATTGTGAGACTGACTGCAAGTTTAATTCTCGGCTACCTAAAAACATAATCTCACGCAAAATGACTATAACTGCAGTAGCAATGTCTGCCCACAGGGTGGAGCTACATTATTAACCTACATAAAGGATGCCCTTGTCTCATGTTAATTCAGCTACCTTATAATGAGAGTTTAGAAATCTAACTCAACAAAACGGTTTCAGCATCAATCACTGAACTTTGAATCAACTTCAAGTTTCACTGATGATTCACTGTCACCTGTCTCATCACCTGTGAAACAGAGAAGGTCAACAGACACTTTTTAGTTCACTCAAACGTAAACATTAAGTGAAAGACAGGTGGCTCATCCAGTCCTCTGCCACTCTCTCATCTTTTCAGCTATTTGCAGTCCAAGAAGCTGGTGAGCTCTGCATTGCCACCAGCTGAAAAAAGGAATACTGCATTTCTCCGCTGCTTGTTTCTTCAACTCGTGTTCCTTAGCTCTAGTGTGCATCCTGAAGGGAGACAGAAAGATGAAGAGAGGGTCGTCTAGGCAGGGCCCTCCTTTGGAGAGGACGGGGTCTGGGACGTGGAGCTGGAGGAAGAGGAGGCAGAGCTCTTCAGGGAGCCCAGAGTCTTGCTGAGCCAAGAGTTCTTGGCCGCCTGGATCTCGTTCATCAGGACTCCCCGCTGGTGCTCAAGCTCCTGCACAGTGACAAGAAGATCAGAGAACAGTCAGCAAGAGGAGCAGCAAGGGGCAAAGTGTGCATTCTCTCTTGTAAGTTCATCTAACATACTGCCCTTTGTCATGTGGCTCTGTATTTAACACTTTTCAATGCATCTGTGTATTCTTATGCACTTGATGGACTTTGCATATACTTTTACTAAGGAGTGGGTTTAGGTTCTTTTGTATATGTATCTTGTCTTTAACAATGTTATGTTTTTAGCGTTGTGAAGTTGAAACTTATGTTTTTTTGTGGAAAATATCTTGACACTGGACTGATTTCGCTAACATTTGTTATAGTTATAGCTAATCCCCTCAGGGTTAACTATAACTTTTAAGGATCCCTTAACTTTTTATCTGCCGTCATCATCAACTTTTTAATTTGTAGAATACGTTTGTTTATGACCAAAATCTTGCAAAACTAATGACAGTCCCATCAGCCTCACCTGTACTGTTTTGTGCTAATTAGCGAATGTTTGCATGCTAAAAAACAGAGATTAGTTAAACTGGTGATGTTTAACGTATTTGCAAAACATCAGCATGTTAATGTTGTCACTGTGGGCATGTTGGTATTCTGATGTTAGCATTTAGCTCAAAGCACTGCTGTAAAAAGCCTCAGAGCAGCTAGCATGACTGTAGACTCTTATGAGCACATTGAGCAAATACTTAACTAAACCATATACATGGGGCAATAAACTCAGTTATATTAATATTTAAAAATAAAATGATCTAGTTTTTCTTTCTGATACTGACTTTCTTTCTTTCTGACAATCTTTTAACTATTACATCTATATATATTCCCTTAAGAATACTCCTACACACTTGGTATACTGCCCTGCATCTCTGCAGCAGTTATTATAGTTACTGATATCACTGTCCCTCCCGGGTGCTGCTGACCTGGATGCGGCACTTTGCCTCCACCAGTTGCAGTTTGGTCTGTGCCAGCTCCAGCTCCAGCTGCCTCAGCTGCTCCTTCAGTCCGTCTTTCTCTTCGTCCAGCGGCTCAGTGGATGTCTTGTCCCTGCCGGGGGATGACGCCTGGAGGGATCCCAGGGTGCTAAACAGATCCCTGCAGTGCTCACAGCCCATTACTTTACTCTGCACGGGCACACAAACACACATGCATGTTAGCAAGGGTTGAACATACTGTATAGACATTTGAGTACAGTTGAAAAAAACACATTATATGCATGTGAACTAACATGTTGTAGCAGACACTCCTCTGTGCTACATGTGCTGTGCTAAAGCAGAACATGTATGGTGTGTTACTTAATTTTAATGCAGTAAGTGAATATAATATATTTGGTCATTAATTCTGTTTATCTAGATTATTCCTTCTATGTACTCATTGCTCAAGGGGAAGTTTAAATTTCACAATTGATCTATTTCATCATCACTTAATGCACAGCTCCACCCTGCCATCTACAACCAACAATCTTGAGTGCGTGGGAGCTGTAGCTAACATGCTACAGCGGTCAATCATCACATTTCACTGGTCGTATTATCAATTTACATTTTTCTTCCTCAGTTTCCATCTTGTGCAAGTCCTCCATGGTTTATTATATCAATATAGATACTCATGACTGCTCGCAGCCAAAACTCAGTGGAAGTTGAAGTGTTACATCAACTCTATCATAAACAGTATTTCTGTTCTGAATACTTTTGAGTGATCCTGCCTGTGTCATGTCCCACTACAACCCATTTCAACTGGCAGCACATTACATTAGTAAGACTGTCCTGATACACTGCCACGCCCATAAAAAGCAACATCACATGTTCGACACTAAACAGTGTGGAATAATTTGCGCAATCAGGGTTATGGGTGTGATAATGTACCAACATGGGCTTAATTAAAGACAGAACAGTCCTGCAAATCCCTTTGTTCTGTGATGCAAGATGTTGTGGTTTTAGTTTGGACTTTAGTTAGTCTCCTAACTTGCATCTGGCGTCTGCAGTATGCAATCTCACCCTGACAATGTCCAGCTCTTCTTTTGTTGCCGCCTGCTGTTTTTCCAGCCTGGTGCTCAGCTGGGAGCAGATCTGAAACACGCAGAGGAAGTCAGGTTATATAAGAGATGCCACATTTGAACTAAAAGACAAGAGAGGCACTGAACAATTTTTAGCTTGTATTTCTCCTTTTCCATCAAAACTCTTGTGTGTGTATGTATATATATATGTATAATATATGTACAGGTCATTGCAGTCAATGTTAATGCATTTGAATTTTTTTCCATTTTAAATACAGCAGATAGATCTAGGTTATTAAAACTGTCCAACCTGTTTGTATTCAGCTATGATCGCTGTGGTTTTCTTGATCTCCAGCTCGGCTTTTTCTAGCTCCCTCCTGAACACTTCCTTTAGCTGGGTGGGACAAAACACGACGGTAGAAAAAATTGTACATGAATAAGGAGGATGAGCTGACAGGACATAACACCGTAACATAATGTTTATGCAACTATCAGGGTGATAAAATGGCCTTGGTAAGAATGAATAACATTCAAATACAGACTGTGCTGACTTTTTTTTAATTATTATGCAAGAGTAGTTTAATATATATATATATATATGCTACATCAGTCTCTCTTTAAGGCCTCATAAACAGTAACTTTATCAATAGTGGCCATCAATAGTAACCACCACTCACTGAACTACAATATCACCATACGATAGCTCAAACTCATACAGTACTTGTACACATGAAAGGCTGTGCTATAGTGAAATATAAGTTTTAAAGATGCCCTGAATGTTAAAGAACAGAGGCCATTAATTGTCAATGAGGGTGTATTGAGCTGTTGATCAATACCAATTACACAACTAGTGAGTCATTTTTAAAATGGTGATATGTTAAGTTATCTAAACAACTCTATTGGATTGCTGCTCTAATTACATCCCACACTTACTCTGTTGTGACAAGGTGACTTAGAGCCATTATAAGCAACCTGCTGATGATGTTGCATTTTCTTTGGTCACTGAATGAAACTGATTTAAGTCATTAATTACTAATTGTGCCTTTCAGTGGGTTTTTAAGTAATTATTACCAAACATAGTGAAGCCATTAATCCAACCTCACAGGACACACATACCAACAGAGGGCAGATGTTACCTGAGCCGTCTCTTCCTCCTGTTGTCTCTTTTCCTCCTCAGTCTCCACCAGACGTTGCTTGGTGCTCAGCAGCTCTTTGTTTAAAACGTCGGCCTTGTCTTCTGCCTGAAACCAACATAAACACATCTTTCATTTGGAACCAAATTTGCAACTGTAACATGGTGCCGTTTTCATGACCAGCCTGCACAAAAAACACATTCAAATGCAGACCAAGCGGGAGCAACCCCATTCACAGATCTGGAATTTAGGGCTGACTTGATGCACTAAAACATCTGCACTTTTATAATCTTTATCATTTACTCATTAATACAATTTTAGAGATTCACACTGATAACTGTCAAGTACAGGCGCAGTCCTCAAGTTTGTGCAGCGGGTTGTTCAAAAAATGCTTACAATACAAGCACATGTTGAAGAATGTTGTTCTGCTTACATTAAGGGTTTTTAATCAACTCAACGTCAAAAATTACTCTACCAAAAAAAGTTGCTGGTGGTAGTGCATTTCAAAAAGTGTATGCATTTGGAGCATATTCCGCTCCTCATTGTTCTCCATGTATTAAACAACCAATGTTGGCAGTTAGGAACAAATGCTACACCTAAATACAACCTAACTGAACAAATAAACAAAGCCAGCACATCCATTACATCTGCCTTAATCTGACACACAGTAAGAGGAATATGTTGTCGGTATGAAATTACCTGGTCAAGGTCGTTCCGAAGAGCAATCTTGCTGGTCACCAGTTCATGGGCCAAGTCGTCATTCTCCTGTTCCAGACGCATACTGGCCTCCTGAAGACGACGATTCTCCCTCTGGACAAACAAACAATATATTAGTGTCTGTAATGTGAATCCAAACGTGTAAAAGGATCATATGTTAGACAAAGTTTAGAGCACTTTTGATAAAATGACAATGTCGGGAATCTCTGAGAAAGATTTCTTATTTGCAATTGAGTGTCCAGAAAATGATAACTCTAATAACAAAAGTAAGACAAACAACCATATTTAATGTTTATGTTTAATGTTTAACAGAGAAGAATGGAATTCTGAAATTAAATGACCTGTTTCCTGCATGAAAAAAAAAAAAGTATTTATTGAGCAGAAGCAGCAGCTGTTCTATTTATTTCAATATTTAATTCAATTTAAATTTATTGTCGCAGCTGTAAAAACTTTGCATGCCCACCAAACACACACAGTCCCCATTGTAGACCCTTAGGGGAGTCTCATGATTACTAGTCTGTCTGTAAACAGTCTCACATGACAGCCATGCCTCAACGGGACAAAACAGTTGTCATGCTTACGAGCAGTCACCTGACCCTGATATCCTGTCACTTTTACAACAATGACCTCTTATACCCCTAATTAACTTCACTCACACTCACACACACAGACATATGTATGCACAAATACTGTAAATAAACTATATAGTTAAGCTGAATTACTGAACAACTTTTATATAATGATGCAAGCATAAAAAAGTGCAAATACACTAAGACACACACGGTCACATGCTTTGGAGGCTGTGTGTGCCGCTCTTCAGATTAAATTAATCACTTCCTGTGAGCAGAGAAGTGGTGGGTTTAATTTGTGCAAACAGAGGGAAGACCTACATAGTCTTAATTAGTGCGGCTGGGAGGTTCTTCTCTGCTGCAGCCATCCATACACCATGTCTTAGACTGATTAAACATTTATACAAAAATCTTCCATATTCGTTTTCTACCTTTTAATAACCTGCCGAACGGTCTACATTAGTCAACATTACCAACTCAAAGCAATCAGAAAAAATATAAAAACTTGCACATCAAAGTTTAAGATTAGTAAAAGCCATAAGCATAAGAGCATGTACAAAATCTCTCATATTAAAGTCTTTGTTGAAACAGAGGCAGCTTACCGTGCTGCAGTCCACAGTCACAGTGTCTTCATATCAAGCGTCCAGCAGCACAGACTAAACTTAAACACATGATCCTGACAGGAGTTTCCCTTCTCTGTGTGACACTTCCCAGCCTCACTGTCTCCCCCTCTCGCTTTCCTTTCTTTTAGTGCTTTTATTATATTTTTTAAGATAATCATTGAAAGCAGGCAAGGAAAAGTATACCTGGTCGAAAAAGTCACACAGAAGACGCACGTACAAATACAAATACAAATACACCCCCCACCCAAAATGAGACAAAGACAATGAGTACATACCTAAACTTGGAGTATAAACCATACAAAAATGTTGAATTGTTGAATTACAGCGAGCATAAAGCAATAAAAGAAGTCATTCCTTCAATAAAAACGTGTAAGATTTAACCTCGTTCTCAGTTACAAGCAGCAACTTTCCTGCTTTGTCTCCTTTTTGTCTTCTTGCTCTGTTGGACAGCGTTTCCACAGGCTACAAAGTAGATGGCTCTGGTCCAACATCTTATCTATGACAAAAGTCTTACTTCCTTCCCTCCAGAACCACCAGCTTATACAGCGCTTGCTATTTTCTATTATGTTTGCCTTCAGGAAAAACACTACATGTAATTGTGCTGTGTTTTTTTTTTTTTATTAAAGTTTTAGTGGTTGGTTGTGTTTGTTTGCAGTGTTTCATAATTTTACTTGAATTTTTAATGCAACTTGATCTTTTACTCTTGTCTCCATTAATATTTTATTTTATTCCGTCACAACTGTGATTTTTGTAATATTTCATTAGAGAAACTGCTCACTGATGTCTTTTTTTACAAGAACATTTTAACTCATCCCTGGAAACAAACTAATGGCTGCAAAATAATTTCACAAACTAAGAAACTCCGTCTTAGCTTTAGCTTGACCACCAAGTCGACCACCAATTGAGGCCAAAGGAACGTTGTTTGTCTTGCAAGGCCATGCCCTTATACATCTGGAATTTTGCTTAAATGCAGGTGGAAACCATGAAACATCAAGTTTGATGTTGATGTTTACACCTATTCAGTACATTATGAGGGGAGGGGAGGTGTTTCCAACAAGTGACTGAAAAGTAAATTGGTTTCTGTTGTATGATATTATTATACAAGACAATCATTGTAACATCTACCTAATAAAGCCTTTCTTTTGAGTTAAAATACCTTGGTATCTAGCCATAGTCTAATAAAAAGTCAATTTCACCGCTTAGAATCACTAATTTAGTGTTCCTCCCTGTGAAAGTAGCTGGATATGTTGCTATTTTCTTGCTAGGAAACAAAACGTTTTGTGGGCTCTGAAAAGTTAGTAACCTAATTGGGAACATAGGTTGTGCCAAGATACACCAAAAAGGAACTGGGCATTTACCTTAAAAGTTGCTTGTGAACTTCACTTCAAAACATATGTTAAAAGGAATAGCACAAAACCTCTACCAAAAATCTGTCGACTACTTAGAAAATATGCATGCATTTCCTCTGAAAAGGTTTTTAGTAACAGGTCTAATTATCTTAGTTTCAACTCTAACCTCCCAATTTCAAAGAGATTTTGAAAAAAAAGAATAAAACTGTGCCCGGAGCTGATTTGGGGGAAAAAAAACAACAGACAGATTTTAACCAAGAGGAAAGAAATCCTGATACAATAGAACAAATAAAAGGAAGATATGCTGTCTGTTGACAGTTTGAGTTTGAGTCTCCAAATATCTCCTGTTTTTCCCTTAAAGTCACTTTCAGCAGCCAGAAACCTCTGACAACACCCTGGCAGCTTCAGCCAAAAATAAATGTCATAGATGTTTGGGTCGATAATGATTACAGCCTGTGCTATGTGAAAAGTCACATTTCAAGCCCGAACAGTTTGACAAAACAGGATTGTATTCACAGAAGATGTCTAATTTTAGAAACAGTTAATTTTAACAAATGCTTAAAAGGCGTTATTTATGTCCTCACTACAACAAAAAAAACATCCATCAAAACTTTAAAAAATATCAAAGAGCCAAACACTTTCTTACCATCTTTAAGACTGAGCAATTATTCAATTAAAACCTAAAGGAAACATATTTGCTCTCCCGTGAATATACTGTGTGTGGTTTTGTAATGTGTAACAAAAAAAGGGGATAGGTGCATTTAACTTTCCCCACCTAGAGTGTGAGTGTGTGTGAGTGTGTGTGAGTGTGTGTATTTCCTACCTGGTATCGGTCGATAGGGTCCTCTTGTTGCAGCTGGCTCTCTCTTAGTGTTTGATATTCCTTCTCAAACTTCTTCAGCTTTTTGGTTGGAACCTGAAAACACCAGAGAAGTTGTTTCATTATTTTAACTTTCATGCACCCAAAGCTGCCTGATAAAATCTCAGCCCAGCCCATCGTAATGCACTGTGAGTAAGGAGAGATTGCGAGGGACAAAATGAGGTATTTGGACTAAAAGCAAAATGTTGGCATTTAATACTGTGATCAGTGAAGCTATTCCCTAAAGAAATGATCATGTTCAGTGAGGGTCAAAGAGGGGAGCCTACTTCTCTAAGTACGATTAAGATGCCATGCTCAAGGACACTTTGACAACATCCATATTTTACTACAGTACATATTCAATAGAGAATGTGAGTGTGAAGAAAAAATCACCAACATCAAAGGAAACTGAAAGAGTCAGCAGTAACAACACGTAGACAAGAACATGAAAAAAGATCCTTGTAACACAAAGTCAGAACGAACTGAACTAACACTGAAAATTGTGGTATTGTGGTTTGTACAGCACAGTTTCTGTTTTCTATTGCACAATCTGCTCTATATACGTTCATAACCAGTAAATGTTTCTGTACCTTCTCTACATGTGCTATTTTTACACAAATCATGTGAAAATACAAGACACCCACATTAACAAATTAGGCCCTTTACAGTACATCTGACTGTAAATCAGCCACATTGAGAATTATGCTAACAATTCTTCTCAGACAACAGAAAGACATCAGTTCACACTACAAGCTACATGACCAACGGTCGTTCATTTCCTCCTGAGATGAAAGACAACAGAAACTGGAATGACGTATAGACAAAGCCGTCAGAACTGTCAATCGCTAATGAAAGCCAACAAGATGAGTACTTTGCCTCTCTGTGTTGCTACCAATGCAGTTTTATTCTGTAAACAATATGTAGCCCTAAAGCAAAAAAAAGGGTTAATTCTGTCTAATCAAAATGTCTTTTAGTCTTTTAATATAAAGTATATTTGTCTCGTACTATGCTGTTAAAAATAAGGGCCATTATTTCTTTAATTTTGTGATCAAAACTAGTGGTTGGACCTTTAAATATTTCTCCAACAATGTTGGAAAAATAGCCGAACCTGTTTATTCTGGTAATTTTCAATGAATGCTGCCTAATTAAGTACTCCACACTAGTCATGATAACTTAAACAAACAATATAACTTGAAAAGAATCAGTCAGTAACAGTTTTGAAGCTGTGACCTTCAGTTATGGCAGGTTGGATGCAGAAAGGCCACAGAGAGTTTAACTGTGTTCACTGAAGCCAATCTAAGATCTTTTTAATCTCAGAAACAACCGAGCAATGCAAACACAAACACAAAATCAACATCTACATCTGTGCGTATGTGTGTGTGTGTG